TTTTTCGTTCTTTTTTACCCACCTATACATACACTGTATTACCGTCCGTTCCCGAGTCCGGTTTCGATTAGATTTCCCGACCCCGGKCAACTACTTCACCCACTGACACCCTCAACCCACCACTGGCCCGATGAGAGCGATAAATTGTTGGCGTGACGTTATTTTTCTTTCTCTCTCTCATACCCGGTGGTTCTTGTTTATTCGCGATGACACCACCGCCCTGTACAAAATAATAATTATATAATACTTTGAATTTATCCAAAACTACTATTCGAAACACGAATTTATATTATAGTATTATATTGTTATGTACTTGGTCCACGGGCCATTTCGATCATTTGCTGGAATATCTAACATATTATAATAATTTGTTTATCGGTTAAATGGTGGTTTGGATCTATCGATACTAACTTTGTTTATCGTATCCCTAATATTTCTGTTTTTGAGAAATTACACCATATTGAATGGTTGCTATAAATCTTCCTGCAGCTGCAGAAAGTACCTATAATATATGGGTTCGTTAACATAAACATTCTCGCCTCTCGGAGTGGAAAGATCCCAATAATTTTTAAAATATCGTATTGCCATTTTTTCAGATTATCAGTGTGATTCATTTATTTTTTGCGTAGGTAGATACCGAAATTAAATGCGAGTTTTATTAATTCAAAAAAGTTTTCGTTATGACTTACATTTTGACTTTTACACATTATATTATGATATATTATGTTCACCACTATCACTCTAACTATATAAAACTATCCACGGGATAGGCATAAAGTAATATTATGAATTATTTTATTCGTTAAGAACTTAGGTTATCATAAAACTGTAAGATCGCAATTTTCTTGTGGATCAAACCTTTTTGTCGGTCCCACATAAATTTCGAAATGATCAACTAAATCGTGCATACCATATGTAGGTCTCCGGTTTTATCTCGTTTTGGGGACATCATATTATACCTTACATCGATCATATACAGTCTCCTTATTTAATTACATTTAAATTTATATTATACACTCGTCGTGGTTGGATTGTATATTAGCTGTAGCTAATTAAGCGTTTTTCATCAGCACTTTCTTCCACACAGATCTTCAATATAGCGTCGTTTGGGAAAAATTAAATAGAAATTCATCCCTTTAATTTTTGTCAACATTATCTTCGTCAGTATGGTTTTTGCATGTCTCTATCCTCACTCATCTCTTCCCCAATCAGTGTGGACAGAGCGAGAGTTACAATGGTACCTATTGAGAGAGTTTCATCGAAATTCTCGTTGGATCATTACTTATTATTGTTTATTCTAACGCGGTGGTGGTTCAAAATCCCCTACACTTTTTGGCAATGCAGATCGTTATATTTTATTATGTAATCTTTAGAAAAGCTGAAAAGATTATTTTGTTGTTAACTATATTATCATACATTTCATACACTCTATAGTCTGATAACGATTATTATAATCTTAATGATATTATATTTTTATTTAGAATGTTAGCCTTATATTGTAAAGAAAAAATCAAATTAAATCTTAAAATCAATAAAAAAAATATTACCTTTACGTTTCTATTTATCACATATAATGGTGCAGAAGTTCTTGTTTCATATTTTCCTATAACTTTATGTGTAACTAATAGTTTGTAATGAATTACTCTTTGTATATTATAAAAAGTTTAATTAAAATCTCAATCTCACAATATAAAGATACTATACGCGAGTAACTTACGTTATGATATGTTTGGTATTTACCAAACACTGAATGTATAATATTATATTATATTATTGGTAGGACGTAGGTTACGTAGAGCGCAATTTGTGCTGTAATTTAGGACAAATACTATGCAGGAAATAAATGATTATTTTATTGTGAACCAGGCAATATCTCACTATCTCAGAAGATTTTTTTAATACTAATCTTAAGAATAACTATCATAAAAATAGAAAATCTTAAGATATTACGATCAATTTTAATCGTTTATATAAAAAAACTAATTACATGATAACATCATCTGGTTCACAGTAAAATATTCACCCTGTACATGTCTATAGGTATTGAGTATGCATAAAATACGTAGATATTTGTATAGAGTAGGTATAGTGTAATATTATAAAACATTAAATAACCTAGATTCGGATGATCCGTGATGTTTTTCACGATGACCCACGCTAGAAAACTACAGGGCTCACCTCGTTATAACTTTATTATGTTATATTTTGTATGATATAAAATATTTCCATGCACATGTATTATAATAATATCTACGAAAATTTGTTTTGCTGATGTTTGTTTCTCCATTTTTCTAAATACAGTTCCACGCAGTTCTTTAACTGCGCGTAAATATGAGGCAATTGAGGCATATAATAATATATTATGGTATAATATAATAGGTACCTACATATACCTAATATCATCATAACACCTGGAGCTTATATTTTTACATAGTATAATATTATAATATCTTTCTTCATTTAGCAGATGCAAATCTAAGAATAGAGTTGGAATGCTAATGATACTTTAGCAATCATCCCTTCATTTGGAATATTTTTATCTTCACGGTTGTTATATAGCTATATCGTACAGTATACATATACATACATATATGAATATACCTTAAACGAATTTATTTCTCCTTTTATCCACAAGATTAGCTCTCGTGCCAACCCGACCATGACCATATTAGTAATTTCTAAATTTTGGTAGCGTAGGTATACAACTGGTTCAATAATCACCACGAACAACCATAATTTCATCACCATAGCGATTGACCTTGTTAAAATATTATATAATTACATCTCCTCGGTATTAAGGCATTTTGCATTGATAAATCGGAAAACGTTTCTATAAAAATATTGGACGAATTGTCATACAAACTCAAAATCAATTACCTAATAAAATTATACCTATGCATTTGTATAAGCAGATGAAATAATATGTGAATTAGTATTTTAAAGTATGTATTGTTTAAACAATTAGTGTTTTTCATTGTATTACAACAATGATTTATAGACCTAGACACATACAACTTTTGACGTAGGTACTATAATGTAGATCAAATTTCTGTGTAGACTTATTTCTGTAGTTCATCGTAGATTTTTTTTTTTGACTTTCAACCGTGGAAACCCATTTTACGGGTGACTGATTATACTCTAAGTCGGTATGCATTAAGGTCATTTGATCGATAACCACACATTATTATCGACTGTCATACTTGTTAATTATTAGTACACCGGTGATTTTAACACGAACAGATGGTCATATAATTCGTTTGAAAATCTATTGCGAAAGATAACATTAGATCCAACCGTCCCGAGGTAATTTTGTTTCCCAGGCACGTCATAGCGCGGAATCGTCTTAGACTCCTGTTCGCTAGCCGCAGGGACCGAAATATGACGTACGAAAACGCTGAAAAATGGCTTTTTATGCGAACAAAAAGTTAAATTCATGGTGCGCCTTTGTTTCGATAATCTCTTACTATAATGCTAGTCGGTCACGTCGTTTTTTTTATCCGAGCACACAGAGAGCTGTTGTCCAATTTTGAGTGAAAAAAAGCTTTTGACACACACAAAAGCCGGATTAAAATTCACTCGATACTCGTAGAGCGTTTATTTCAACCCAATCAGATCGACGCACATAAGCTTCCGACAAATCGCGTGCGACCGTTATAAAACCGCATACAACGGTCGTATAGTTCACCTCACCCGCTGCGTCCTGTACCAGTACGCCGCTATTGATTTTAACTTTTTCGGCGTGTAATGATAAAAATAAATACACGAAAATACTTAGACAATCATATACACTTATGCCCAAACGCACACTCATTTGACGTCGTCATCACGCAACGATGATGATGCTGCTGCGTTAAGTTCCCGATAGGCGATAATACAATATATTATATACTTATATTTATGTACATGGAGATTTTTGTTGTAACAAAACATTAATTTTATAGATTATATATTAAAAAAATATTCTTTTACATGATTTAAAGTCAAAAAAACACGTTTGAACTTAAATTTATATTTTTTTATTTTTTTAAGTTTTTGTTTTAATAAAACACATCTATGTTTGCTAAATATACATTTAGGGTATAAATTTGCAGTTAAAAAGTTTTTGTGGGACAGAATCATTTTTTATATATATCAGATAATATTAGGTATGTATATAATATAATTCATACAAATTGTTAAATTCACAATTATGCGACGATTGTTGTTTAAGTAATTGTGTTGGGACGTATTGTGACAAATCGACGGGAAATCGTTTCGACAAGCCTTCACGCTCGCGTTTTCCGTCGGATCGACCAGAGACAAAACTTTATACGCCATTTGCCACACGGACGGCCGGTAAATTCCATCGATTCCGGTTGGTGGAGCGGAACCAGCAGCCGTTTATTATTATCGCCACGTCCGGTCTTCTATGTTGCACTTGTAGCGATAACGCGCCTGTGATTATTATACTATAATATATCATATTTGGTCGTAGTGCGTGATCGGTGACGCGCCATTTATCTATAGTCGTGATTTGGATGGAAGGGGAGGTATTCGTGAATACGACCATCGCGTCGTTGAAGAACATATTGGACCGAAATAATGAGTTTTTTTAGAATTTTTGGCAATACTATAATATTGTGAACTCGAAGTATAGTTTTTGATATCCATACGTCAGATAGATGAATTTTTATGATTTAAAATTGAGACGTTTTAAGTGAACAGATTTAAAAAAAAGTTAATACATCTTGTTGTTTTTAAATAATATATAATAGTCTTCCAGCCTTTATTTATTGTTTTTAACTACATAATATTGTGAAATGGTTTAACTAATTTTAAGTCTATTGCTACGAACATCTCATTCTACTTTAAATATTATAATCAGTAGATAATTATTGTGTAACAGCATTCATTTTTTTTATATCTAGTCATGACCCTTATTATATTATCGAAATCGATGTAATAATTTAACAAACAGAAGAATATTAATCATGTTTTATATTTTTTTTATTCATATTTCATGAATAAATATGTTATTTCCATTGTCAATAACAGTCGTAGCAAATATTTAAATCAATTCAAAAATTCATCTTTATTTTCAGCGTTTTTATGCACTAAGACTTCGGTCGGCACTTCCTACAATCGTTTCTCACACATGTTTTTTCATTTTTGTCACAAATTTCATAAGTTTATAATGCATAAAATTACTACCCCTACAAATTTTTAAGACCTACATGAAAATAATCTTATCCGTTTTACCCGGACTATCGAAATTGTTATTTTTTCTTAGAACTCAGATAAAGATCCCATTTAGAAACATTTCTATGTTAGACACCGTGGACGTTGGAGTATACAGCTCGTTTAAAAGGCATAGGCACCCAGAAGTGCGTTTCAATCCTTACAGTGCTAACAAAAATTTGACCACCAGCGTCACTGATTTCACTTGTCCGCGATCCGTACGGCGCACTCAAATTTATACACTTATCGTAATTATAGGTAGTCAATGTGTCATTTTTTTTATTCATTATTGCAAAAACATTAAAATATTTTCATTCAAACCATAATGCCGTAACAGTTTTCAACCTGGTGAACGGGACTTGCCCGTGTATATAATATTATAAATATCTATATGTTTACGGTGGGTCGGTGTCGCGCGCGCCCAGACCGGCCCCGTCGTCATGGATACCGCGCGCACCGCCTCCGACTATAGCGATCGAATGACGTCATCCATCCGGGGTTTTTGTGAATAACCTCATTGAAGAAAAATGGCCCACTTTTCTCGCACGCGCACAGGTTCTTCGTCAACAGCCGGAGCAGTGTATAATATATATAGAAACACACGTAAAATATTTATGTCTGCTGAGATAGTATGGGAAAAAAAATTCTGAACATATAAATTCACAGTCACCTAAACACCACACCCGCCGTGGTGATTTTCGATACCAATTCGCGAACTTATTATATTAAAATTGTACCTATATCTTATATTTTAACGACGCATTTGCACCTATATTATAATAATCGACAGGTCCGCGTGGAGGCTGGCTATCACCCACTCGACTGCACACTACATGATTTCGAGTAGGCACCTATACAATAATAATAATATTTTCACGCTCTCATTATCTATATAGACACTTTAATATATCACTAAAAGTTTAATCTCACAGAAAATCTACACTCGCTGCGTTATAGGTATAGGTGGTATATAGATATATTATGTGTGATGGTTAAAGACGAAACGGTTGGTAAATGGACGATATTTTTCTCTGCGTGTTTTTTATTTTAATATACGTAAAAAATATTAGAGCAATAATTTCTACATGTGGCAAAAGAAGTATAATATATTAATATGTAATAATATAAGGAATAAGGTTAATATTGAGTAAAGTTGATCAAAAAAAAAAAAAGGTATGAACTAAATTTTCAAATGTTTCCGTGTAGGCACATTAATGTAACATACCTAACATTAACCATGTTGAAATTTAAAAGTTGTGTTGCACTTTGAAAAATTAAATAATTTAAAATGTTAAAAAAGTGTGAAGTTTCAAATATACTTTTTAGTAAATAAATGGTTAAAATGGTTAAATTATTCACAAATTTCCTTGATTTCCAATTATTTTTTTAATATATTAATTCAAATTTATATTTATTTTTTTCTTATATAGAATCAACCACACATTCAATTAAATATTTAACAATTGAAACGCAATTTAATCTCTGAATTGTTTCCATCCACATTCAAACATTTAGAATTCGAGTTTATATAAAACAATTTACCTATTTATAAAATTAATTACATTGAAATAGGGCGGGAAGGGAATGACCTGGATTCGAAACACCCGGGTTTGTAAAGAGAGGGTGGGAGGGAGAGAGAAAGTCACGCCGTGTCGTTAAGTATTATTTGGTCTCAGGAGATCCGGCCATACACCCTCTCACTTCAGCGCATTACACGAGTCGGTTTCGGAGCGGAAATTAACAATTTCGGACGAAAAAAATAAATAACGCGCGACAAAGACTGCTGAGTGCAGTGTAAGTCGTAGATGTCACGGCGCGGCGCGGTCAAAGTCACCGGACTTTCGTGGTGCAATCACCGTGTGTATAATGTACTATAATATACAACTTTTATTATTGTTTCGGGGTTTTTATTTCCTTTTGTTTTCGTTTTATTATTATAATAATTATTATTATGATACGATGTTACGATGTTGCAAAAAAAAAAAAAAATGGGGGGACCGCCGTCCATTTGTCTCTGAGCGTGTTGTTTTCCAGGAGTGGTGCTGTTCTCGAGCACCGTGTACTTCGCCGAGGCGGGTTCCGATCAGTCGTTTTTCAAGTCCATCCCGGACGCGTTCTGGTGGGCCGTGGTCACCATGACGACAGTCGGATACGGTGACATGAGGTAACTTATAATTGCGAGCAGCCAGGAATACGACACCCGCCGACCATATACCATCACGACCGATATATACGCATAACAATAATATGTATACACTACTACTACGACTACCACGACAGATATTTACGACTCGTGACGTAACTCCATGGACCTATTGGACCTATGCGTAAACATCGACACACGACTTATCAGAAGCACAAACACATACACATACACACACACGCGTTCTAACAGTCAGACAAAACTATATCTGTGACTCTACATACTATTCTGTACGAGACATGCTGATGGAGAGAAAAATAAAGAATGGTAGAGAGAAATACAAATAGAAAGGGAAATGTGAAAAATACGAGACTTTTGAACGAAAGGGAGGGCGATGAGAAAGATATAAGTAATAAGATCGAGTAAAAGTTTCAAAACACTTTATCTCTCGAATATAGAGTAAACTTTATATAGAATACTCACGAATATATATTATATATCATCGTGATCATGGGGTTCTATATAATATTATATGATAATAATATGTCATGTTTTATGTACAATGTTTTATGTACAATGTTTTATAAATATTTTTGTACGAAAAATGTTTCGTTCTTGAGATGGGGGACGTCCATAATATAATAATAATATCGACGTCGTTGTCCACGCCGCCGATCGGGATCGCGAATTATTCGTTTATTATTATTTGAATTTTTTTTTTATTTTTTTTTTTTATTATATATAAACACGGTTATTATTATTATTTTATCGTTTTTATCGTCGTCATCATTACTATTATTATGATTTATTTATTTATTATTATTATTATTATTATTATTTTTTTTTTTTATAAGTCACAGTCCTAATGAATTTCAGGTGTGGTGCTATTCTCGAGCGCGGTGTACTTCGCTGAAGCCGGCTCAGAGAATTCCTTCTTCAAGTCCATCCCGGACGCATTCTGGTGGGCTGTTGTTACCATGACGACTGTGGGCTATGGTGACATGACGTATGATGTACTCAATTTCATTAAGACAAAATTAGACAGTTATTGAAATTTATTTTTTTCCATATTTTTAATTTTATTCACTAATAGTTATTTGCATTTTATTTTCTTTAACATTTTAGTGCGATTTATTACCAGAGAAAAAAAAAATAATAATAACACAGCAACAAAAATCGCATTAGACATATTTGTATTACATTGTGTTTTTCATAACCGTATTTTATTCGTTCGTTAATCTTTTACTTATTATTATTTATTTATTTTGTTTAACATCGTTAGCTTGTCATTAACATATTATTATTATTATTATTATTGTTGTCGTGTAAGCTGTCACTAATTTCGAACTGCCGTAGATCATTAGTTACGACTATAATAAAACTATATATAATGTTCTTTAACCAGCAAACACACGTCATACTTTAGACTTAAATTCATCACATTTTTGCGTTTATTTATCATATTATTTTTCTTATATTTATTACAATCACGTATGTATGGTAATATACAAGGTGTCTAAAATATTCGCAAACATTTTACACAACTTTCAGTTATTCGTATATGCATACAAAATATTTTTCGAAAACTTTCCAAGCACCCTGTGTATACAGTAAATGAATACATAATGTTAAGTATTTTTATATTATACGTATTTGACACATTAGCAATAGTTTATTAGAAAAACTTACCAACATTTAATTTCTTCCAGATAGTTATTATTATTATTATTTGTTTTGTTCGAAGATTTCGTCAAATACTGAATATTTTAGAACAATAAAATTCTATGTTCGATTTAAACAATATTGTTGTTATAAATTATAGTCGTCTTGTCACTGTACGCTCCATTAGGGTTTGCAAAGATTCCCAATTCTGTATAATAATGTCATCATCATCATCCACGTGCACATTTAGTGAAATATAATAAATATATTTATGCCTAAATTATGCCACAATATAGTTTCGATTGCAGTTCTCCGATCGTTATTAGAACATCGTAGATGTACCATTTAATATCGATAGAGAATCTCGGTTTAGATCGATCGGAGAACATAATATTTTTATTATTTAGGTAGATATTAGAAATATTAGTAATACTTATCTAATTGAATAAAACAATATTATTATGTCTGGTTTTGTTTAACCTTTATAATTTTTTTATTATGTTTTTTCGTTTTTTTTTGTTTTTTTTTCGGTTTTTGTCTCTTTAAATTAATTATTTAATATATATATATATATATATAAAAACACTTAAAAGTTTAAAGAATTTTATTTATCGTGTAAGTAAGATATAATCGTCATACCATACGACACATTATTTTTTATTTTATTATTTTCTTCTGTCGATTAGAGGTACCACCTGTTATAGGCAGACTTATAAATTATATCTAACATCAGCTGTTCACTAACACATATAGTTACTATATACACATATTATAGCCTTGACAAAACTATATAATATATGAATCATTACTTGACTGTAAGTCAATTTTTTGTAACTACATATACGAATTTATACATGACATAGTTGCAACAGCACGAAGTGCAGAGTCGTAGTTGAATTTTGCAGTTTTGACAATACTTATTACCCACATAATATAATATTACACTTACCAACTAACAATAATTAGTCTGTTGATCTAGCAATATCATTTTCCCGTAGTCGTTTGTGCATGCATTTTTTTTTTTTTACTTTTGAACTTCGTATTGTTTGACGTACCGTAGTATAATAGTCGTTTATAATATTATTATTATATTAGACATTATTGCATGTTCTTAGAAATGTTATTTTTATATAAGTAATATACCAACTACCTATAATAGTATAACGATAAGTGTAAATTATACAATCATCGTGTTTGCATTATTATCTATACTTAAAGAATCTCGAATATAATATAATATTATATATATATATATGTGTATATATATATGTATTTATTTATAAATCGTGTGATTGTTAAGACGATTTTGTTTTTGAAATTGTTTTCTAAATATCACACGAGGGATTCTATTCAAGTGGTGTATGCGTGTGCGTGTGCGTGTTTTTTTTTTTTGAAAATCCGTCATTGGTCATTGTCCTCCTGACAAGTCTTGTGACATGGAATGATACTTACCCACATTTTCCAAACGCCCGTTTATGTTTTTGGCTTTCTCGCCTCGATTTTGCAAGCGCTTCACATGTGGTGGATATTTATACGGCACATATTATTTCCATGGTCTGCTTAAATATTTATAATTTAATACAGGTCGATTATATTATCATCGCAGACCACTCAATATTCCTCAATAACCCAATCTAAGTCCATTGCGCGTAATTTTATAGTAGTGGGAGTGTGTGATACAAAGTGTGTATCGCATCTATTTATTGTAAAAAGCCTTCTTTGTCGAAAATAAAACTAAAACGCCTAATTGAGTTATAAATCTGAATTTTAGTCGGTGTTGAATATTTTTTTTATTTTTTATTGTTCGCAAATTGATCAATTGTCAAGATAAATCAACAACAATTTTGGCTATAACCATTAAAAAACTGAAATTACGTGCTTGAAATTTACTAAATCCACAGGGTTAGATAGAATTAGGTTACCTGATCAAGGAAAGTCCTAGAGTGTTCTGCGATCATAATATCATCTTGTATAGTATTATACTATTATCTAATTTGATAAAAAAAATACTGAATCCTACGATGCGTGTGCAACATTGTGATGGCCGTTTGTTGTTTTTGTTTTCCATTTTAATTTGTTCGTACAAATATAACTTACTGTGCAAGCTTTATTAGTGAAAGATTATGATCGTTAATTCCAAACAAAAACAAATAATTTTCTATACCAATGCTTATACGCAATACATATATTATAGGTACTACTAATAATTATAATGTATACTAGATACCTGTTAATCGGCTGATCCAGAAATTAGTGTTATCCATTTCGGATATTTTATAATAATATTAATTACAATTGTTTTGTTATATTATATCGATAATCTGCCAAACTAGTAATCTAAAATTTAGTACTTCATCAGGCATCATAATTTTTGTTTTTAAATCAGTTTTGAGTTATACAAAAAGTGACTAACCGTATAGCTTAAATTCAAAAAATATGATTTAAAACAACATGTAATTTTTATTTCATAACCGAGAGCAGCTGTATATCTAATTTTCCGAAAAATTGTATTTATTTGTAATTTATTATTTCGGTGTATTAATATCGGACATTGAATAAACCGCTGCACATGAATTGCGTCCCAAAGATATTTAACGACTACACGAATTGCGTCCCAACAACCATATTTAACAACTACCCGAATTGCGTCCCAACGTAAAAACATTATTTTCCTTCTCATTTCATACAGACTTAGGACTGTCGATAGTAAATTACGACTATCAGTAGGTTAAAAATATTGTTTTTTTATCATTGTTATGCAATTAGATGTAAGTAAAATAAAATGTGTAGGTTAATAATATAATAGTTAAAAAAAAATATATATAAAAAAAATGTATATAAAAATTATATATATTATTTTATGTATATAAAAAAAGTTATAATTAAAAAATTGGTAAAAACTTGAATGATACTTTTTAATATAATCAAGACGGGCTAATTGGCCACTTTCATATTTTGTCTTAATGAATTTTCTTTTTCACATACCATCATTCGTCTGTTTTTAATTACATGAATACTTCATTGTTTAATATAAGTTTCTTTTTGTACATTTTTTAAAACATCTATAAATKGAAATATATTCGGGTGTGCTRAGTAAARCATACTGTTAAACTTGGAGTGGAAGGCTTCACAACTATTCGTAGTTCAAATTATAGAACATGAGTATTGAGTACATTGCCCATACAGAAGGCGGGAAATCACAATCAGGCTTTATGTATGTATTTAATATATAATCGGAAAATTTCTGTACTTTTTCATTTTCGGGTAAAATGGATTCAATATCGTCAGTAAAACAATCCTCCACTTCATCTGGTTTTAAAAATGGGAGACCAAAAAATATTTAATTATAATAATTTATAAGCAATTGTTTAAACAAAACCGGACGCGATCCATGCAGTAGATTAGATAATGTCGGACGCAATTCGTGTACCCGCTTGGCGCTTATCAATTTTTTTATTTCGGGACGCAATTCGTATGTAGTCAAATAAACAGTATTTTTTTTATAAATGATGATCATTTAAAGCGGCAGTTTGGGTAGGTTGTAAGACCTCGCTATTTCAATCCGATCATCCAAGCGTGGTCACCGTTTCATTCATATGTTTTTGCGTATACGCGTACTGTTCAGTAAATTATACAGATATAAAAATCGCATAATAATAGTATCAATTATGCGTGTGTTTCGTTAAAGCATGTTATTACATAGGTATGTATTATATTATAATAATATATTATAATTAACGGTTTAGTTATTTGTGTGTTTTACATCTGCGTTTGTACGTTTTCTGTCATTTTTCCGTTTGTAATTTTTTTTCTTATATTAATTTCATACATATTATCATGTTATTAATAGAAACGATAAAATTTATTATACAAAAAATAAAAATGCCACCGCCACGCAACCCTCCACTAGTCATCGTGTCATACATTATGATATAATAATTATATTGTTCGCTCGCCGGAACACGTCGACATGTGACATATTTGAATGTGTTTCAGACCAGTGGGCGTGTGGGGGAAAATTGTCGGCTCGCTGTGCGCGATTGCCGGTGTGCTCACAATCGCACTGCCCGTGCCCGTCATCGTGTCCAACTTCAACTATTTCTATCACAGAGAGACTGACCAAGAAGACATGCAATCGCAGAACTTCAACCACGTCACCAGCTGCCCTTATCTTCCCGGTACTTTAGGTGGGTATCCGAGGCGAGAGCTGTCAGTCGACGCGCCATCGCTTCCGCTCGAGTCATGGCGCGGTCGACGTTCGCGTACAATATAATATTATGCCCATGGCTTCTATATATAATATACATGTGTGTATATACCGCGTGTTGTACATATATACATATAGTAGTACAAGACGTACAGCGAGATGGTCTTCAACCAGTGGGTCGCGATTGGATTAAAAACAATTTAAAAGGTCGTAATAATGATACCCATGTACTATTATCAAACGCAGTATGGTTATTAGGTGTAAATTAAATAATATATTATATATAGTAACAGAAGCACACATTCTTATACATGCTCAGCCTCCATTTTTTTGCTAATTTATTCAAATTTTTTTTTTTCAATAATTAAATACAATTACGACTGGAGGACCATGTTTAAAATATTGAATTACCATTCAACGCTTTTCACTGATATGGACGTACTATAACGTTCCTTTGTTTATAAAATTATATAGTTGAGTTCTCAGTTTGGTAATTATATTGAAAAATGCAAAAAAAAGTTAACGATAATTCAGGGTCAAACAAAACAATGTTCATTTGTATAGAAGATACCTATTTTAAATTATTATTATTTCTAGGGATATCTAAGTGACTTATTCTTAATTATAATACTCGTAAGTATATATACGTAGATGCTTTAGCTAGGCGCCATGTTTAGTTACCCTGGGCTGTATGAATTTAAAACTTAGAATTTAAAATATATTATATTTTAACTTTAATGTATGGTTTAATGCATGTGTTGTTGTACTTATCGTTTAGGAATATTAAAAATCAAACCGATTTAGTAGAGATGGGTATTTTCGATATTTGAATAAATTTATTGTTAAGGGAAAAAAGAAAAAATGGGGGTAATAATGGTTGGCGAATCACCCTATAAATACTAATAACTAGTAGTATAGGTAGACATAAAGTACCTACTATAGAAAATCGGTCAAAAAAATCGGTCGCGAGTCAAAAAAGGTTGAAGACTACTGGTATGTATATAATATAAAATTTATATATATATATTATATCTACACACTGTATGTTTACTTATTATTTATTACCTACCATCATTATTTTTTTGATTATTATTATTATTTTTGTTTCGTTGTTGATGTCGTTATTGTTATAGAAGACCGTTTAACTCACCTATATGTATACCCTATGTGTATATACTATACATACTTTCTCGAGAAATTTTTGTTTTTTGTTATTTTTTATTTGTTTTATATATTATATATATACTTGGGTACATGGGACTTTTTGAAGTACCAAATATAATGATTGTAACTCTACGTTTTTGCAATAAAAATCAATTTTTTTTTATCGTAGTGATTTTTTGTTTTTTTAGGGGGGTTAACACTTCTATTTTAAGTCATGCCATTTTAATTTGAAATACTAGTGTATATAAGATTATAACTAAATCGAGAGTAGGGTGACCCGAGTAATATATCTTTGGATTGTTCTAAGTATAAAGCAACGGGGAAAAAAAATTAAATTTCCTTTCGTCCAAAGTGAAAATCAACAAACACGAATTTATTTTACCTACGAACTTTCATTACTATGATATTATAACTTGTAACTTTTAAAAATTATAATAATTTTTTTTTAGAAACACGATTTTGTACGAGTATTATACATTATATTTCATGCTATTCGATGCCCGAGCGACTACATCGTTCGTTATAGATAATAAATATAAATAAAACTTTTCTCATCACGAAACGGAAACGAAATAATAGTTTTATTGTTCGTGAAAATGGACAGGAACGGGTCACCCTAGTCTCTACAGTACATATAATATATTTTATAATATAATAGGAGTTGCGGGAAGTCATAGAACTTTCGCACACTTCTTGTCTGAATTTGCGAAGACATAGACGATTAAAATAATGAAAAAAAAAGAAATTCGATGATATACGTCTCTTGCCTACCTCATTTTTATATAGTTAATAATGATAATAACATATTATAATACGTAAAATGTTATGTGTGCACCAGTAATCTTTTCGTGCTAATCTGTTGTCGTTGTTATTTTTCCTCTTATGTATAACGTTTCCGTTTCGCGCCCACTACAGGTCAACACATGGTGAAATATCCGTCGGGTGGTGACTCGACGTCGGACCTGATGGATTTGGAGTCGGCCGACAATTGCCTGCTGGACGCCGAGCTGGACGAACCGCCACTGTCGTTGCCGCCGCCGCAGCAACCCAAAAAGTTCAACAGCTGCGCCACCGTGGTCAGGCTCAACAACAATAGCATCAAAAGGTTCAGTGTCGAAACTGACGTCTGACTAGCAGGTGCGGTATTAGCACGCGTGCGAAACATAGTTACCTATGTAATGTATAATACGTTTTATAATTTTAAATAATGTTTAAAAATGTGTTTTATCGTCAGACGACACAGCTTTTGTCTCTTGACGTTACGATCCACAACATCACATGATAAAATGAATAAAATGTATGGAAAAAAGTCCCGAAAAATCTTCCATGTATAATTCTATGCCTATATAGAATAAGAAACGAAATGCCGTGAGTCTGTTAATGGCTAGGTAACTGTTGTGGGTTCTAAACGGCTAAATTAATTTTAGAATATCTAATTTCGTATTCAAATTTTCGATGATTAATCGTGGTCTTTGAATATGATGAAAGTTAAAATAAATGATCTGATTATCAAGTAGTTAAAAAAAACCAATCGATAAAACATCGTTATTCTAAATTTGTATTAAATATGTACTATAATATCTTATATTAATCAATATTAAAGTATCGGAATAAATAATTATTAAAATTTGTAGTTTACTATATTGTGTAGAGTTAGTGCTTTCGTTTTCTACACCAACATTATTTTTTACGACGTAATCTACTTTGTTATAGCCATAACTCTCAGGTTATATTTGATTTTCGTATAAAAACCAAAAAATTTTTATCTATACGAGTACACACTGTAATTTATCGCATTGTTATTTTAGATTCATAGAATCTGTTATTAGTTCCAAACAGTTTATTCGATTTTAAAATATTATATAAATCACTTTCACTCCTGATCAATTTTTATAAATCGAGCTTATGATCTATCTGCCTTCACCAATATATGTTATATAGAACCATGATATTAACCAATAATGTACACACTTGTTCATAAAAAATATCCTATGTTAAGCGATCTACTAGTGAACTGTAATAATGAACTTATTTCGCTGCATTCAAAATTTTCGTATTAAGGTATCGTCGGTATCGAAAACCTCCAACCGTTTAACTATTTGAAGCCATTTAGCAATCCGATAAGTTTTTTTTTACCGCACCCCGCGACGCCCTTATTGTAACAATATCATAATAATCTTCATTTTATTGTTGCAATATTCTATACACTTATATGATCAGCTATCGTGAAACACGCCAATCGTTTAATTTCCGTATCGGTACCAGCCATAATATCTAAAAGTTGTATCTGACGACTTTGTAACTTTCGTTTTAGAAACCAATTAAAACTTTTGCATCGCCAGAAATCTATAGATATATTACTATAAATTGATAAAATATAATTTCATTAGTTTTTACACACGACCTTCAAAACAAAAACATTGATTGAGAAAGGTATCAGAAACCTACCTAAACGTTTTGGGCTCGAAAAAAAAGTATTTTTCGAATACCAGCATAGCCGTGATTGCGTGTAAAATGTATTATTTTCTGTCGCTCGTAATATTGTCCGTATTTTATAATTGATAATGCCCGTATCGTGTTCGAAGTAGGTACTCAAAATGAGATGTATGATTAAATTATATTATGTAGGCATCAACAATAACTATAAATGTGAAATTATTTAAACCATGTGCTTACAATCAAACATATACGATATAATACATATAAAGTATTAAGTTTTATCCGTGTATGAAAACAAATTAGTTTACATCAACCTTACATAAKTATTGGTTTTATTTTCGATTGAAATGACCTAGGTAGTTAGGTTATCACAAATAATATTAAATTATTTATTATTTCATAGTAATATTTTATATGATTTGTTCATTTAGACATTTAGAAGACAAAATAGATTCTACAGGGATTTCATGGTTATTGATTATTTTATAAATTTATTTTGTTCTCTTTGAACATCCTAATAATGACGTTATGTTATTCAGCTATGGTTTTTTAGCTGTAGGCCGAAATGAAAAAAAACTACTTGCAAATAACTATATCGATAGGCTTATTCATAGTATTGTAATAATAAACAATTGTATTTTTTGATAACGAATATTGTATAATAATTATGATAATTTAACTTATATTGATAATGTTGTTTATAATTCTAGTATTCAAATTGCAATCCGGCGGCCGTCCAGGTCTCCAAACGCCTATAAGGTGCTGTGCTGTGATAGCTAAGATGTTTCCTTCGTTAAGTTACCTCCGACAAGTTTATTTATAATATTTTTTTAAGCGAATATTAATAACGATAATAAAAATTGTACTCGGAATCCCACTCTTTTGATGGGATAATTTTCTAATAATATAATATGTTACATATACTACCGCAATTATTATTATCCACAGCCGTGAGGAAAAAATACAATAAACGGATCATCTCAAATTGTTTTAATTCAAATTGTACGGGTTTTAATACTATATATTATATATATGCTATACCTATATACCGATAAGCCTTATTTGACTGGATAGAAAAAAAAACAATATTTCTAATGCGTATTTAATTTATTTTATTTTTATCTTACAAGCCACCGCCGAAACACATACGAAACTTAATGAAAACATAACGCGTTGGAGATGAAAAGCTATTACAATTTTTTAAATACGATTTTTTCCCTTTTTATAATATAAAATCTGTACCGATTATAAATATTCTCGTAAAAATCTTTTTATGATATTTTTGATCGCCTGTAGTGTTTATTACCTATATAATAAATTATTAGTCGCGAGTCTTCCGCGTTAAAATAATATTAATAATAATAATAATAATAGTAGTAGTAGTAGTAGTAATAATAGTAACAGTAATGATAACGAAATAACATTATATTATTTATTATATTATCTCTTTTTGATTTTGTATTTATTATATTTTATACGTCAACATTCTTAGCGCCGTGCACATTGTATATTTAACGCCAATAATACGGACAATGATTAATCCGTTTAAAAATACATATTTTGGAAAATCAAAATAATTGTTTTACGCCTGTTATGTTCGGAGATTTGTAGGGAACGCGACAAGGACATATAATATTATTTAATATTGTTATTATATTATTTTATCGATTGATTCGCGCCTGTTCGGCGACCATGACAAGTAGGTAGGTATGCGTAGTGAGGACCCCAAAATCAATAGATAATACTCTTTTACGAATTGATTTGTGTATAATAAAAAATAATATTTAGATTATTAATATCGATATTATTGTTATCATTATCGTTTATATGGTTGAAAATACCTAATCGTTATAGTGTTTCGTGAAATAACACGTCATGTTATACCTACATAATAGAATTCAAAGAGAGGTTGACCGTCGTTTTCGATGGACTCGCGTATCCATAATCAATAACTTTTAAGTCAATAAATAATAATCAGCAGTGTTTGTCCCCGTTAATCGCTTGTTTTCTATCGGATACGTTTGAATTGCGGTTTTAGAAAATTTTTACTTGCCTTATTAGAGATACAGGATCGTAAACATTTATAAAAAACTGAATTCCAAAAAAAAAATTACTATTTTAAAAACGTACTAATTTACTATCATACGTAACCTGCAATCTATGTAAATATTTTAAAAGTTTAAATATCTACCTACTAGTTTTTATCAAGGACTTATAAGTACTCAAAATATTTTATTTAATAATATCATTGCATTTATTTCAAAGTTTAGTCGATAGTGCAGGGTAGGGAAGTGCCACCAACAATATAATAATATATTATAAAAGAATATTTATATAATATAACCTAACCTAAATGCTCTAAAATCTATCCAAAAATCAAAATATTTAAAAAAATATCCATAAAAGTGTTTTATAATAAAGACCTAATTTGTTATTTATCACAGAAAATCAGTGTGATACATTTTTTTAATATTTTAGAGTGTTTATTAATAATTCTGTGTAGCTGAAAATGCATCTGTGAAGGTATTTTTCTGTGTCAATACAATACTATATTGGAACTGTATTATTCATTTTTTTTTTTAATAATATACAAAAAAATGAAAATCGAGATTACAATATTAAATATAGTTAAATATGCGTACGACTAAGTATCCTATAGCTGTTAAATTATGATCATTGCATTAAGCCCAAGAACATTTCTCGAAATGAGTTTTTCATGAGCATCCACCATCCCCCCTACAAAAAAAAAAAAATGATAGATCCTATTTTATAATTGGTGGACTGTCGTGTTCGAGGACAATCACTGTACAGTAAACAACCTGCAGTATAACACGATATTATGGTTGTCATTTAAAATTAATTGACTTTAGCTTCACGATTTATATATTATTATTGTTATTATTATTATTATTATTATTATCATTATCGTAATTTGTAACGCGATTTTCGGTCCATATTATTATACTGTTTGATTTTGAACGGTACCCAACCTGCAAGAACAATTTTATTTAAGACATGCGCCTCCACGCAACGCGAAGGGTTAATAATTATATTATGATATACGGATATACCTAACTATATTATCATGGGCATGGGTGCCTATATGATGTGAAAAATTTAAGCTTTTTGTATAAACCTATATATATATATATATATATATATATCACAACGATAATAATAATGGTATTGATTAATACTTTCATTTTTTTTCACTGGTATTTATACTATATTTAATATATAATAATTATGTGTATTAACGTTTTCTTTACCGACGTATTCATTATTAAATTATTATTACTATTAAAATTATATTATTATTATTATTACTAATATCGCTTCTGACGATTAAATCACAATTATTATTATTATTATTATTATTATTATTATTATTATTGTTGTTGTTGTTGTTTGATATGACCTATTATTATACGTTATATTGTTAAAAATAAAAATAAAACCACGTGTACAACTTGAAATTTATTATAAAAATATAATACGTGTACAATAATAATAGTAATAATAATAATAATAAATATTTTATTATTATATATACAATCAACCAGAGCGTGTTATTATAATTTAATAAACTTGTCAATTGCAATGGATTGGAAAAAAAAGGCTGCACAATTAATATTATTGTTATTATAATATTTACGTACATAGAGATTAGAATGATTTTGGTTTAAAAAAAAAAAAATCATAAAAAAAAAGCGAATAAGACGAAAATATAACTTTTTTCACAAAACGATTGGTCGGGTTTCTTTTTTACATTGCAAGCGATATGACCACAGCCAAAAACTCGTTGTTTTTGTTACACGACCGTCGATGAATTTTGTTTTTCGATAAACCCATTTACAACACGCCATACGTATCGTTCGGCCATTGCGCACAACGCGGATTTTATGCGATTTTCGTGCGAAAATAAAAGCTTTTTTTACTGCACTTCTTTATCGTTGTTTTGAATTTTTGTTTTAAGACCATGTTATATTCTAAGGGAGTAGAAATTTTTAATATATTATTAAAGTAAAAGCAACGAAATAAAAAAAATAAAAATAATAATGGTAAATACGTTTATAATATTATAGGCGTACACAGCTCCCCACGCCGTATGAAATATGAATAAATGTAATACCAAAATAAAATTTAAATATAATATTGTTTAAAAAAAAAAATGATTTTCCAAATAAAATTTCATAATTATTATTATTATCGACAATCTTTATGTGTATTTTTGAAACGATTAATCGGTGCATAACGTGCCGCGATGTCGTCTTATTTGATTTAATAATAATTTAAAATAAAAATATTCTTAAGATGAGCGCGAGCATATTGTTTATAGGTAGGTACTACGCTTCGCGGGTTTTAGCATTAATAAAATATAATATTTCGATTGGAAAAGCATTATCATTTATAATAATAATATAATTATGTATAGGTATTAGGTAATAATAATACATTCAATATTGTTATCAAAACAAATCTCAGACGTGTTATTAATTAGATAATTGTTGATGATTTTATTATGTTAATAGTTTTGCGCGGGAAAAGGCAATAATGATATAGTTGCTATATTTTTTCTTAAATTTATATTTATTAGGTTTTTTGATTTTTACTTTTTGGGAAGTTTCTTAGACTAAAATGAATAATGATATTATATAGGTTGTTAAACCCGTAAGGTTAGGTAGTGCGTGCCTATACAATATTATTAAAATATATATTTTTTTTTATATACAACAGCACTTTACACATTTCAGCGCAGACGGAAATCTGAAAACGAAATCCACAGCGTGTGATTATTAAACAATTATTTCTAATAGTTATATTTTTATTTTTGTTTATTACCTCTACTATACCTACCTACCACGCATATGTGTATAATATAATATAGTTATCGATCGCTAAATCCGAATATTATGTCACAACAACAACAACATTTATGGTCACATCTAGGTTCGAGTGGGTGGGCACTAATCATTATTAATCATTCATTGCTGTAAAATATATTTCCTGTAAAAAAAAAAAAAATAATAATAAAAATTCATCCAAAACGAATATTATATATATTTCGAGACAGGCGTGTGCGTTGTGTTCTTCCTATATATAATATTATATTATTTTCTATAGGAATATTATTATTACAATATAACTACTATGCGATAAATAATAAAATTATATTATTAATAATATTAAAGGAGCACACAACACAAAAATTAAGTTTTTTTTATTTGAAAGGATATTCAATTATAAGGATAAAGTTATAAGTTTTACGTTTCTACTCACATTATTAAATAAGTTACGAGCAATTGAAAAAAGACGCATGACGTCATTGGGCCTTACTCTTCGTAATCGCCTATCTTATACGTGTAAAAGTTCCTCGCTTCTCACAACGATTTACCCACCTAAACATTCTATTTTTGAAATTTACGTATAAATGTGTGGTTTTGTGTGTTTAAGAGGACGCAAGAATCAGAATTTTTATATGACGTTTAGTTTTTTAAATATTAAAAATCTTAAAAGAGAAATTTTGGAATTTTCATTTCGTGTTTAAATCGCCATGGAGCGCCGTTTAACAAAAATATCACTTTTAAGATTTTAWATATTTAAAAAACTAAACGTCATATAGAAATTCTGATTCTTGCGTCGTCTTAAACACACAAAACCACACATTTATACGTAAATTAACTTTCAAAAATAAAATGTTTAGGTGGGTAAATCGTTGTGAGAAGTGAGGAACTTTTACGGGTATAAGATAGGCGATTACGAAGAATTGGACCCTAATGACGTCACGCGGCTATTTTACATTTTATAATATCTCTTAAAGTAATTATTTTTTTTTGCATCAGATTTTCACTAAATCATTTCATATAGCCATATCTAAAATAATTTAACATTTAAAAATAATTTAAATATTTTTTTTTGTGTTGTGTGCTCCTTTGTCCTCTCGTCATCATAATCATTATTATTAT